GGGAAAGACCAATCGAGTGAAAAATACCAACAAAGGAAATATAAAAGACAAGTTTTATCTTACTGCTTACCCAGGTGGAGCTGTAGGCCATCTCAATAGAGCAGTTACAGCTCCTAGTGACATGGGAAGAGTTTATAAATCAGTACAAATTTTTTTCATTTTTTTAAACATTATTAGGAATCATTAGTTAAGTCCAGTTTAAGTAATGATTTTCAGTACCGGAGCTGTTTCTTGCAAGTGGAATGGCAAGGGGGAGTAAGCCTTGCTTGGCTCCTGGAGACATAATTGTATCACCTGATGCACAACAATCATCAACATTATGCTATACAAACCAATGTATTATTAGATTGATTTACTTTTATTAGATAGATTAGTGCTAATAAGAGTAACCAATAAAAACCATACATATTTTAAGTAAAAAAAAAAAGCAGAAAAAACTGTCTACTTGTGAATGCTGTGAACAATAAAATAATAATATTCAATGTCCAGCATTAGTAAGAGATTAATCGATGACCCACCTCTAATTTTCAATATTTTAAGCAATTGACCCAAATGCTCGGGAGGCCGACTGGCGGCAACACCCTTTATGAAAGATGCATGATCTGCAATTTGCACCGGACAAACAAACAAGCTTCAAATGAAATAGAAATACCCAAAAAAAAAAAAAAAAAAAGTGCCCAATATTTATCTGAAGTCTTAGCATTTTGTCTTGTGCATAGATATACAAATACCAAATGTAATGACAACATATTTTGCATAAAACTAAAGAAATAGAACACATGGGTTTTGCACTTTACCATGTAATGAAGACGAAGCAGAGAAGCGAGGCCTGTTTCTGCCATGGCCGAGAAGCAGTGTGGGCAGTGCGGCGGCGCGTGGGCTTGCGTACACCACTCCGCCAACCTTCATTGTTTTTTTTTGCTCGCGTTAATTAGTCAGTCAGGTACTGCCCTGTTTATTCGGGTGTCCTGGGAATTCACTGGTTCATAATTCATCTCGTCTATCTGAATTTGCGCCTGAATTCTCTGCCACATTAGCGTGGGCCTACAATCCTAAGCAGACCCAGCATAGTAACGGCCTTCAAAAGTGTTCTCATTTGCCCAAATGGGTGGTATTCCAGGCCCATTTCGCAGGAAATGCAAGGGCTAAACCTAAATGCAACTAGCGATGTCAAAATGGGGCGGGACAAACGGCGCCCCGCCCCGCACATTATGGGTTGTGGTGTGGGTTGTGACCCGTTTTATTTGCGCTACGGTATGGGGGTGGGTCAATCCAAAACCCGCCCCATTTGCATTATTATGCAACCTTGTATGGAAAAACATATAAGGAACCTTAAATCTAGGTCTCGTTCAGTTCGCGGATTCGAGTTTTTAATTTGAATTGAGATGTGACATTTTCTGAGAGTTTTTCACTGTAACAAAAAAAGTTAGATGTGATATTTTCTGAGAGCTTTTTACTGTAAAAATCTAAAACTAAAAACTCAAATTGATGAAATAAACGAGACCATAGTATACAATCGGTTTTAGACTCGATAAAAGCTTTTCTTTTTCTTTCTGTTTTAGTGCAAGTATAGTGAAAATTTTCCACATCTCATGTGGGACCTCTATCTAAACGTTATACATAGAATTGTTGGGAATCTTTATGACAGAGTATGTTATTTTATTCAATTAATGAGAATAGTAGGTTTTAACTATTAAATTAGTTTTTAACATTTAAATTTATACATATCTATTTTAAAAATTTACAACACACTACATAAAATTATTTTTACTACAATACAGAATTATTTTTATTACAAATTTAATCGTTAAAAAATTAATTTAAACATTAAAAATACAGTTCCACCGGCAGAACAATTTTGCTCCACTTAAAAGACTCCAGAATTGCATTTATTATTTTATTTTATTTTATTTTTTTCAGTGAAGGGACGTCCTCCACTGACCTCTTAGTAAGTACACTCTTTTTTGCTACTGTAGTAAATAAGCTCTTGCATGTGGGCAGTTTCTTGCTACTGTAGGAAATAAGCTATATGCATGGGCAGTTTCTTTTTTTCTTTTGGGCTCCATGAAAGCGACCACTAAGCCATGTACTATTTAGTTTGTATGAGAAAAAGCAAATTATGTGTGGAGTTTATTTGGTCCGTTCATTTTACCGATTCGAATTTAGAATTTAAATTTTATTACATTAAAACGCTCTTAAAAACAGTCACATTTCACTTTTTACTACAGTAAAAAACTCTAACATAAAGTCACATCTCAACTAGAATTAAAAACTAAAATCAGCGAACTAAATGAGCTCTTTGTTTGTATAAAGCTGCTTACTTTTTTTTGTCATTTTGAGGCTATTTTTTGCAGGCATGCTCAGAAAAATGTAAAGATCGTGTCTGCAAAATTTCATAATTTTTTTACTTCATTAGTGATTGGCTTTTATCTATGATCCAACGCCTTGGAAAAATTGCCCGAGGAAAAATCCTTTGTATCCTCTTCTTCACATCGATAGCATAATAATCTTGCCGCACTCTTTTGGTACATCGTGTAAGGCGGAGCGAATCCTGAATTACTCGCTTTCTTGATGTGCCTCCTCCTCCTACTTCAATATCACCTGCAGCACCCATCTTTCCCCCTCCTAAATTGCAACAAGATCAGATCCCTTTCCCTTCAATCAAAACCCCGAATTTACTATCACCAGCAAATGGGGTCAACACTGGAAACCTCATTCCTCATTTGAGCACTTCTCTTGTTTTTACTTCGCCGGTCTGGCCTGCTACTGTGCCCCCTATTGGTCAGAGAATCAGTTTCAAAATCTTATTCAGTCTTCCTTGGAAAGTCCTTTATCGGATTCGGATGCTGGGTTAACTGGTTCTCAAAGCGAGTATCCAATCCAACTCTAACGGGAATAAAATGACCAAAGTGGTAATCTTAGAACTTCGATAGAGGCACTCACTCTAAGTCAAAGGGTAACTTAAACTCCCCTAAGAAAAGGCATGGATTCGGAAGTACTAGGGTTCCACAGTTTCTAATTATTTTATTTTATTTTATTTTTCAAAGACAAAAAATAAAGAAAATCATAAAAAATAGAATATTCATCAAAAAATGGTGCCGCTTATTGCATTAATTCCTAAAAATCGTATATTAATCTTAGAATGCAAAACATAAATAAAAATGTAAATTTTCCATCCCAGCCCCTGGGTGCCCCACAACGCGGGCCGGAGGCTTTTTGACCCCGTTTTACTTATTTTTGTCATTTTTTGAGGCAATTTTTTGTAGGCATGCCCAAAAAAAATGTAAAGATTGTGTTTGCAAAATTTCATAATGTTTTGACGTCGTTTTTATTTTATTTTATTTTTTAAAGATGAAAAATAAAGAAAATCATAAAAAATAAAATATTCATCAAAAAATGGTGCCGCTTATTGCATTAATTCCTAAAAATTGTAGATTAATTTTAGAATGCAAAACATAAATAAAAATATCAAATTTTGACCCCTCCCGGCCCTTGGGAGCCGCACTACGCGAGCCGGGGGCCTTTTGACAGCGTTTTACTTTTTTTTTGTCATTTTTTGAGGCCATTTTTTGCAGGCATGCCAAAAAAATATAAAGATTGTGCCTGCAAAATTTCATAATTTTTTGACGTTGTTTTTATTTTATTTTATTTTTAAAATACGAAAAATAAATAAAATCATAGAAAATAGAATATTCATCAAAAAATGGTGTCGCTTGTTTCATTAATTCCTAAAAATTGTATATTAATTTTAGAATGTAAAACATAAAAAAATGTAATTTTTTTACCCATCCCGGCCCCTGGGCGGCCGGTGGCTTTTTGAATGCGTTTTACTTTTTTTTTGTCACTTTTTAAGGCCATATTTTGCAAACATGCCCATAAAAATGTAAGGATTGTGTCTACAAAATTTCATAATTTTTTGATGTCATTTTTATTTTAATTTATTTTTCAAAGAGGAAAAATAAAGAAAGTAAAAAAAAAAGAATATTAATTACAAAATGGTGCCGCTTATTGTATTAATTCCTAAATATCATATATTAATTTTATAATCCAAAACATAAATAAAAATGTAAATTTTTGAACCATCCCGGCCCCTGGGCGCCCCACTACGCGGGCCGAGGGCTTTTTGACCGTGTTTTACTTCTTTTGTCATTTTTTGAGGTGATTTTTTGCGGGTATGCTGAGAAAAATATAAGGATCTTTTTCAAGAAATTTCATAATTTTTTGATGACGTTTTTATTTTATTTTATTTTTCATATACGAAAAATAAAGAAAATCATAAAAAATAGAATATTCATCAAAAAATGGTGCCGCTTGTTGCACATATTCCTAAAAATGGTATATTAATTTTAGAATACGAAACATAAATAAAAGTATAAATTTTTTGACCCATCCCAGTCCCTGGGCGCCCCACTATGCGGGTCGGGGGCTTTTTGACTGTGTTTTTTCATTGTTTTTGTCATTATTTAAGGCTATTTTTTTACAGACATGCGCAGACAAATGTAAGAATTGTGTCTACAAAATTTCATAATTTTTTGACGTCGTTTCTATTTTATTTTATTTTTCAAAGATGAAAAATAAAGAAAATCATAAAAAATAGAATATTCATAAAAAAATGGTGCCACTTGTTTCATTAATTCCTAAAAATTGTATATTAATTTTAGAATATAAAACATAAATAAAAATATAAATTTTTGACCCATCCCGGCCCCTCGTCGCCCTACTACGCGAGCTGAGGGCCTTTTTAACGTGTTTTACTCTTTTTTTCTTTTTTGAGGCCATTTTTTGCAGATATGCCCAGAAAAATTTAAGGATCATGCCCACAAAATTTCATAATTTTTTGACGTCGCTTTTATGTTATTTTATTTTGCAACGACGAAAGATAAAGAAAATCATTAAAAATAGAATATTCATTAAAAAATGGTGCCACCAATTTCATTAATTCTTAAAAATTGTATATTAATTTTAGAATGTAAAACTTAAATTAAATGTAAATTTTTTTCCCATCCCGGCCCCTGGGCGCCCCATTAGGCGGGCCGGGGGCTTTTTGACAGCGTTTTACTTTTTTTTATCATTTTTAGGCCATTTTTTGGAGGCATGCCCATAAAAATGTAAGGATCGTGTCTGCAAAATTTCATAATTTTTTAACGTCATTTTTATTTTATTTTATTTTTTAAAGATGAAAAATAAAAAAAATCATAAAAAATAAAATATTTATCAAAAAATGGTGCCGCTTGTTTTATTAATTCCTAAAAATTTCATATTAATTTTAGAATGCAAAACATAAATAAATATGTAAATTTTTGACCCATCTCGGCCCCTGGGCGCCGCACTATGTGGGCTGGGGGCTTTTTGACAGTGTTTTACTTTTTTTTGTCATTTCTTGGGGCGATTTTTTGGAGGCATGCCCAGAAAAATGTAAGGATCATGTATGCAAAATTTCATAATGTTTTGATGTCATTTTTATTTTATTTTATTTTTCAAAGGGGGAAAATAAAGAAAATCATAAAAAATAGAATATTAATCAAAAAATGGTGCCGCTTGTTTAATTAATTCCTAAAAACTGTATATTAATTTTAGAATGCAAACATAAATAAAAATCTAAATTGTTGACCCATCCCGGCCCCTGGGCGCCGTACTACGCGGGTCGGGGGCTTTCTAACATCGTTTTCCTTTTTTTTTTGTCATTTTTTGGTGCCATTTTTTGCAAGCATGTGTAGAAAAATGTAAGGATTGTGTTTACAAAATTTCATAATTTTTTGACGTCATTTTTATTTTATTTTATTTTTTGAAGACGAAAAATAAAGAAAGTCATAAAAATAGAATATTTATCAAAAAATAGTGCCACTTATTGCATTAATTCTTAAAAATCATATATTAATTTTCTAATGCAAAACATAAATAAAAATATAAATTTTTGACCTATCTCAGCCCTTGGGCGCCCCACTACGCGGGGTGG